GACGCGATCGACTTCATGCGTTGGCGAGACAGCGCGAGCACTTCTGGCGACAAATTCGTCAAGTCGCGCTGGGTCCAAAAGCTCGAGACGGCAAGGCACGTAAAGCTGCCGTACACCACGCAGTGCAGCGCGAGCTTGGCGTGGGCGACCTCGTCCCACCACGAGGTCATCGACGTGATCTGTGCCGTGTGAGATGAGGTAGGTATATCGATATCGCACCGCCGAGTAGAGGGACTTGGTCATGAGCGCCCAGCGAAACACCCAGAAGAAGCGCAGGAGCGTCGAAGTCGTCAAGCTCCGGCGGTGCTCCATCCAAATGAGCCACGTTGACATGGCCTACGCACATATACATAACTTCTTGATCATCGGTCGAATCATGGACTACCCAGGTCATCGACTCGGCGAGAAAGGCCGCGCGCAGCGCCCACGGCTCGTCGGGGAGCCACATGAAGACCCAGAAGCCGAGGAACGAGAGCGTTGCCAGCATGGTGGAGGCCAAGGCGCGGGCGCAGAGCTACGAATATGGATCGTCGCAGGCAAAAGCGCTGCATGGAGTCCGAGTACCTCGACGGGGAAGATGATTTCGGAGAGGTACGTCTTGGGCAGCGGGTGGATCGAAGCAGCCCAGAGCCACGCGCCAAGCAGGAAGCACGAGTCAACGCCCAGCACGAACGTATACGCGCCGTAGCCGAGCGGCAGCGGCGCCGTCGAAAGCATCTCGGATTTTGGAGCGTATAGGCGCGCCATCTGCCATGGTGTCGACCTCTGCCCAAACTTTAGAGACCATCATTTTTAAAGTGTCGCGACGGAATTGCTAGGCTCGGAGCGTCTATAGTTGTTGTATCGCTCCATAGAACGCGCTAATGGATGATGGAAATGATTTTCATAGTCTTTATTTGACTAGCATGCGTGTTGCAAGGACGATATTGCTGCTTGCAGTTGGAAGGCGCCGATGCCCCGCCTAGTGTAAAAGGAGCCAATCAGCACACCTCACCTTGGCGTTGAGCCAATCAGCGTTCGCTGACGTCGATCCGCTAATGCATGAGATATTTCTGTCGGAGGGAGGACAGTGTGCTGCTTGTGTGTTGCCCGAGCAGCCTCGGTTCTGAGGCTGCTTGCGCGCACAGGCAGAAAAGTCAAGAATGCCACGTCGACGGCTGTGATGCCGCACGTGCCTTGCGCATGGGTGAAATATAGGTTTACGGTATGGCACGTCTTGTTCGCTTCCGACGGATCATAGCTTTGCATGCCACCGAGAAGGTAGTGCCGCCGCGAGACGCACCGACAGTGTAGGGCTGCACGCTAAGAAACAATTTCAACGCAATTTCGACTGCGCCCTTGAAAACGGACGGTTGCGAATGCTTCGCGACGTCGATGATATAGAGATATGGCCGAGGGAATCTCGCTCGTCATCCTGCGCAGTTTCAAGCAACAACATCGGTTCAGAAAGACCACTTGAACTCGCAGGCAGTCGATCATATTACTATGTATGGTGGGCGGCCAACTTGCTCGCCAACTGATCAAACTTGGTTCGTATGCCCCGGAGACGCACTTGCAGCTCGGTATCGACAGCCGTGCTCGTCGGTGCTTCGTCCTTATCGTCGTCCGTGGCGAGCGCGTCTAGCGGCCGCAACGCGTACTTCCAGACGTGTTCGGTGAAGAGTGGGTGCAGCCATTGCGGTGCGACGACACTGGCTGCTGCTGGGCGCAGACCAAAACAATACCGCACCCATCGCACCGGTCCCGAGACCGTCTTGGGCGGGTCCATGTACATGACGGCTTGACGCGCCGCGATGGTCTGCTTGGACGTGCGTTCAAGTCGGAGAACGCACTCGGCGGCGCTGACATCGGCGCGAGCGCGGGTCGTGTCCCACTTCTTCTCGACGGTTTTGTTCATCATGGCGATGAGGAGGTTGGCGAGCACGACGACGTACATGGCGACTTGGACCATGCGCAGGATGATGCCCAGCGGCACCAGCGCCGGCGACACGACATCGACAAACTTGGATTCAACCTTGTTGCCGACGGTGTACGTCCGCAAATACTTGCCCGCGTCGCCTGTAAAGTCGTCGAGCTGGAGACCGCCGTAGAGTACAAGGTACGACGCAAAAAACGCGTCGTACAACGTCGCGTATTTTGGCGCTAAACACCGAAAAAGGAGGTAGTACGCACACGTAAAACCCAGCTGGACGACGCTAAAAAGCAGCGCGATGCCACGTACGTCGGTCACAATGTCCATCAAGAGCGGCACCAGGTACCCGCCCGTGGGGTGAATTTGCAGAAACTGCGTCGACATCATCCAGAGACCGAGCGTCGCGGTGGCGCCAATGCATATGTACGCCTGGTACACGGGGTCGTTGTTGAGGTCGGGCGACGCGTTGCTTTGGGCGTAAATGAGATGCAGCGGTACGTACAAGAGCACGAATGAAAAGATGACGAGCTGAAAGAGGTTGAAGCCAGAGGCATAGTACCGGCGGTACCGGCGTAAGAACGGCGTCGCCCACGGCAACAGAACAAACAAAAGGAGGGTGTAAAGAAGCCAGACAACCCCCTCGGCCTTCTCGCGTCGCTCTTCAATCGCCCGGTCTTCGGACCGCAGCTCTCGGTATTCCAGTAGCAAAAAGTAGAGGACGCCGCACCAGAGCACGGTCGCCGTCGACCACGTGAGCCACGGTAGTGTGTAGCTAATGTAGATGTGGCGACCGTTCGGGATGATCCAGTGCGGGATCGTCTCGGTCGTCCGCAAGATGGCGGTGACAGCACACACAATCGGAAAGAAGCTGGTGGCGCATGTCCAATAGAGTACGCGGCGCATGAGGAGGCGCTTGGCAGCGGCTTGGAGCTGCGGCCAGTGCGGTAGCGTCACCGCTGCGTCGTAAGGACCCCACGTGCCATCGTTCGCGTAGCGAGCCCACTGCCAGAGCCGCGTCGGCTGCAGTTGCTGGGCGTAAACGAGGCCAAAGAAGACAAAGCAGATGGACGGAACCCACGCGATTTGCACAAACTGGAGCTGGATGCCAGTGTACTGGATCAGCGCCGTGTACGTCGCGTTGTCCTGGTCCCGCCGAGACGTCGCGTTGGCCTGGTCTCGAAACGTCGCGTTGAACTTTTCGTAGAGACACACGTTGTCGGCGAGCCGGCCCCGGCACGCCTCGATCGCAGCTTTGTAGATCGACACCTCGGCCGTCTTGGCCGTGGCATACGCCGTGGCGACCGAGACCGTCATGGCCATGAGCACGAGTGCGAAGACGAGGATCTGGTGAATGTACCGGCGCTGCCCAAAGAGGGCCCACTTGATGTCAAGGACGCGCTGGACAGCCACGTGCCCCAGACACGCGTACGTGCCTTCGGGATTCGTGCGCTGGGCGTTGAGAATCGAGTAGAGCGCGCTGGTCTTGGCGTCGTGCATGCCATACAGGAGGTGGAGGTTCGAAAACACATGTTTGTGGACGGTGGGTGCGGCCACAAACGAATCGAGCATCCGCAGCGCCGAAGGCACGTCGACGCGGACAGCGCGGGCAAAGAGTTGCTCGTCAAACGCACCGTCGAGTGCGTCGACGTCGGCTTGGAGCGGACTCTCGTGGGCGCTGTGCACCTGCGCGTACGCTGCGCTCTCGACAAGGCGGGCGCAGGCGTCGTGGCCTTCGCGCTTGGCCCAGTCGAGCGCCGTGAGGCCACACCGGTCTTCGATGAAGAGGTCAATGGCAGATTGCTCTAGCAATGCGATGACGACGCGTCGCTGGCCGCTGCGGCACGCGCGTGCGAGGGCTGAGAGGCCTTTCGCATCGACGGCGTTGAGGTCGGGGACATGGGCATTTGCCGCTAGAACGTCGAGGATGTCAGTCCATTGGTGCTGGTTGGCGAGGTCGACTAGCGAGCGTAGCGCTCGGTGCAAGGTCATTTGAACAATGCCAAGGGCTGCAGTCAGTCGCACGTTGCCGCGGGTAGGAGGAGAACGAGGCGGTTCAAACGAGCTTCTCCGAAACGGGGCGGCTACCGACTACTAGTAGAACGGAAACCTCCGTTGGGGTAAACGCCGCATTCCGCCGTCTCCGTAACGCAAGATGACAAATGGTATGCACTCAAAGTGGCTCTTCTACTGGTCGTTGCGGGCTCCGTCGAATAATTGTTTTCTCCCTCTGCGTTCCTTGAGGTTATCGAAATGCGATGTGGATCAAGATACCGTTCGGCTGAGAACGAGGCTGCTGCGGTCAACTCGTCACTCTACGTTTGTGATGCCGTACCGCAAATGCGCGAGCCGACCACTCGCGATTCAATGGCTCTCGAGGTCTCGGGCGGGGAGCAGTCGCTCATCCAAGCAAGCCGAAATGGCGACTTTGCAGTGGTGCAAGCGCGGCTTTTGCAGCCCGAGGTCGATCCGAGTGCGACCGATCGGGACCACAAGACCGCGCTCGACCACGCGATCGAGTCGCGTCGCTACGACTGTGAGGCCCTCCTCCGCAACGACGCCTTCCTCCGCGCGACGTGTCCCGAGTACAAGGCCAAGCACGTCGTCGCCCTCCAAACGGCGTACGCCCACCGCAAACAAGTGCTGGACCCGGTGCTCTTTGGCCGCGCACTGCGCCTCGAGCCCGGCCTCGCGCTTCAGATGCTCGACAACTGCTATCGAACGGACGCGTCCCACGTCCTGCAGTTCAACGGCATGCTCGAGCTCTTTGGCAACGACGACGCCGACACGAGTGCCCTGGACGAGATTGTGCGCTGCGAGGACGCCGACGCGCGGTCGCTCTGCCTCGAGCACGTCGTGATCCGGAGGCTCCTCGCCATCAAGTGGGACATTGTCGGCGAGCGCATCTTTTGGAAAACGCTCCTCATGTTTGCGCTCATGCTCTTTGCGATGGTCGTCGCGACCGCTTCCAACTACTACTACATGTCGTCCATCTCGCGTGCGCTTGACAACATCCCATGCCTCGACAACCAAAGCGGCTTCAACAAGACTACTATCCGCGAGTTCCGTCGCAACAACTCGCAGTGCTACACCGACTACACGAACGAACGCGAAGCGCTCCAAGGAGAATTCCGCGACTCGATGTACACACTCACCACAGTCTGGATCACGGGCTGCTTCCTCGTCCTCTTCTCGTTGGCGGCGCTCCAATGGTTGCATCCGGACCGGCTCTGGCGCGTTGCCCTCTGGGTGCACCTTGGCGTCTGGCCGTCCGACGACGCCGAGCTGCAGAAGCTCCATGACAACGACATGAGTCTGTACAAGGCGGCCGCCAAGCGCTACTTGGTGCGGTGCGTGCTTGTAGCCACGGCCATTGCCAGCGCGGCCACTGCCTCGCCAGTCGTCCAGTACGCAAACTTGGGCGATCTCTTCACCGCCATGGTGGCCGTGCCTGCGATCGTGCTCTGGCTCTGCGCGGGCTACTTTCTTGGCGTCGAGTACGGTGTCGTGTTGAGCTACGACAGAGACCATCCCAAGTTATTCTGCCAGGCGACCTCGCGCAGTCAGTACTTGCGGCGGTGGCTGTACGTCTACACGGTCTTGCCCTTCTGCGCGCCGTTCCGTGTCCGGTTTCGGCCGTACTTCAACTCGTTCATGAACCTCTTCCGGCTCAGCACGTGCTTCCTCATTCTCTGTGTGCACGTACCGATTGGGTTTGTCTCGGTCTTCAACGTCGAGGAGACACCGATCGACGAGCTCGAGGACGGCGCTGACGCTGCATACGTGGCGTACGTCTACTCGGGTGTCGTCATCTTTCTCAGTCTCTGGCTCCAAGTCGCGCGCTTCTTCCAAGTGCACGCGACCGCCGGCTACTTGGTCGTGACGCTGCGCAGTGTCTTGGGCGACGTGGCCAACTTTTTTGCTTTCTTTGGCGTCTTTGAACTCGGGCTCACGGGTGCATATTATCTCATCTACCAGTGCACCAACAACACGGAGATACCCGACATGTGGACGACTTTTTACAAATCGTACTTTATTCTGTTTGGCGAGACGGACGAAGCGGCCTTCTCCGCGCTCCGAAACACCACCCGAACGACCCGGAACAGCACCAGCGCCGTCCGCGCACTCGAACTGCCGCTGAGCTTGCACATCTACGGCATCTCGCTGCGCATGTTCCACTGCGCGATCGTGACCATGGTGCTGCTCAACCTGCTTCTGGCCATGATGAACAAGACGGTGGACCGCCACTGCGACACGGCCCGGACGCGCGGCCTCCTGGCATACGCCGACATGGTGCTTTCGTTCGAGAAAATGGCTGGCGTGCCTCGGAGCCAGCTCGTGTACATTGGCCGCCACCATATCAACCCCGTCTTTGCCGAGACTCCGTTCGTGCACGAGCTCGTCGTCGACGTGCCGGCCCCGAGAGACGCGACCTCGCTGCGTGCGACGCGCAGTGCGATGGAGCTCAAGGCGAGTGGCAAGGTCGCACCAGTTCCTGGCACGACCGACCTCGACGACATGGACGCACAGCTCGACGCTCTGCTGTCGAGAAGCCGATAAGAGATCTATGATACATGTGTGTAGCGCTCATTTGTGGTCTACTGCGCTAAGGATGGTTAAGACCACGTTGGGTCGGAAGGAAGGACATATCGAAGGCGATATCGTCAATGCAATGACAGCGGCGCAGAAACAAGCGTATGTGTTCAAGTCCATTTGAATGGTTCCACCGGGCTGCAACCTTGGACCATAATACTCCATTACTCTTGCCCTAACCGCCCTTTCATCCACGCATTCGACGAGCCTCTTCAGCATGCCGACGACCTCGTAGACGGCGCTCGGGTATTGGTGCTGCATACGTCCAGCGTGCTCTATGATGTAGCGCTGCGTGTGGATCGAGACGTGAATAAGACGAGTTAAAATTCTTATTGATCCACTGGAGCAAGCGCCTCTGGCCGTACTGGGCAGCCTGCGTTTTCGCCGCGTCCCAATCGATGCTCATATGCATTGGCTGCCAGAGCGACCACACCAGCTTCTCTAGGGACGTGATATCGCCTCTGTCGAGCAAGCAGCTGACGTCAAAGCGACAAAAGGCTGCCGGAGCTGGAAGCGGCGCGGCTTTGTGGAGTCCATCCAGCTCGTGCGTGTCGTGCGACCGTTGGACAATGTCGTCTGCGTCGTCGGCCCCTGCCGCTTCCGCCATTGCAGCTGCCGAGCCGACGACGCCAAAGTTGATATCGAGCCACTGCACAGCAGGCAGTGTCCCAAATTGACGCGCCTCCATCAGCACCGAGTCGAGAGCTGTGTCGTCGAGGCCCACGCGGCGCAAGAACGAACGCATGGTCTTGTGAGTCTTGATGCAGTGGGCGGTCGCGCTGCGTGCAAGCGCTTGCTCGATGTCGGCAGCTGGATCAAGAGTGATGTTTGCTTGAAGAATACCCCGGAGAACCGACGTCAGCGCGCCAACGGTCCCGTCCCGAGCCGCTGCCAAGAGCATTTCCACGTAGAACGCACGTGGGAGCGCGCGCACGACAGCCTCGATCTCAGCATCGGCAGCGTCTAGCACAATCGTGGGCTCGAAATCTACGCACGAGAAGATCCCGTGGACGACCGTGGCATCGAGCGAGCTCACATCCATGCTAGCGTCGAGGATGTGCTGCAGGGCTTGGACGTGGTGGCGGCCGACCACTGACGCCGCCGACCACTTGAAATAGGGCATATCCGGGTGTTCTTGAAGCGTACAGGGTCCGTATTGGAGTAGCCGCAGCACAATGCCGGCATGGCCATTGCATAGCGCGCATGTCAAGGCGCTCTGTATCGGGTGCGACGACGTCCAATGCACGGGGGCATGGTCGGGCGCGCCGGACGAGAGCTCGTGCCCGAGGAGGTACGTGACGACGTCCTCGTGGCCGTTGGTTGCGGCGGTGACGAGCGCGTGCCAGACAAGCTCGTGGCCCGACACGTGCAGCCATTGGAGAATCTCGAGACGGCCGTTGGCCGCCGCGACGCAGACGGCCGTATCCTCGTTGACAGCGTCAAGATCGACAAATGAAGTGGCCTCAACGACGGACGGGTTCATGTCAAGCAGCATTTGGGCGACAACGAGATGCCCGGCCGCAATCGCAAGCCGAAAGCTCTCGGGCGTGACGAGCTGCGGATCGAATGCGACGAGCTGCGCAATGAGGCGCAAATCGCCTTCGAGGAGGACGAGGTGGAACGGAAGCCGGTCTTCTTGGTGCGGAAATGTGAGGAAGAGGTCGTGCACGTCGAACTCTGTCAACGGCGACCCCGCAAAGAACGGAAGCAACGCAAAGCGCGCCGGCAGGTGCGTCATCCGCCCAATGAATTCCTCGCTCTCTGGAGTGCAATCGATCAAGTAGTACTTGAACTGGACTGCGTCGCAGAGCCGATAGACCTCGCGCACAGCGTGCGGCAGGCCGTTCTGGTAGCGTACGATGTGTCGCCACACGTCGTCTAGTGTCAGCACCCGCTTGCTGGCCATGGAGGGGTTCAAACAAAGTACAGGTTTAAACGGCAATCTGGGCGCCGCCTTTCTAATCACCTGCACTCTGTGTGATCAGGAGACCTTCACTCATTCCGTTTTCATTCCGCCCGCGGCTGGAGCAACCGCAATAGCTTGTTGAGAGATGACAATGTTGAACCACAATCACACGACATGCAATACAGAAAATGCGACTAGTACGAAAAGGTCAGTCGCTGGGTTCGCATCCGCTTCTGAAAGACGGGCTTCCGATCGATGAGGCCGAGCTTCCGAGCCGCCTCCGAGATCTTGACCGTGTCGTTGGCGCGTCGGCAGCACGGACCACCGACGTCGAGGCGCAGCAGCGGCTGTGGACAGCGGCTCAGCGCCGTCAGCAGCATGAGGATGCCGTACATGTCCATGTCGCGGCCGAGAAAGCTCAGCTCCGTGAGCACCGACCACTGCGAGAGTCCTTTGCTAAAGCGCCGCGCGCCTTCGTTGCTAAACGCATTGTTCTTGAGATGCAGTCCACGCAGCCGCGGCATCGCGTCCGCTCTCAGGAGCGCGAGCCCAGCATTCTTGATCTGGTTGCCACTCATGTCCAAGACACAGAGGCCACGAGGCAGCGCCGGCACAAGCAGTGCCATGTCGGCATCCTGGAGGCCATTCCGGGCCAAGCGCAGGGTCGTGAGCTGCGGCACATGCCGTAGGATCTCGGCGAGAAGCCGGGAGCGACGGTTGTCGTGGGCGAGGTACGCCGT